TGTAACTGCTACCGCAGGTACACGTAAGTTTGTATATACAATAAGAGTTAACACGAGAAACCTTCGATTTCACCGAACAGTTTGTTATTTGGTAGTTGGAAACCAACCTGGTTACAGCTAATTGGACAGAAACTGTTGAATTTTAAGCGTTGTCCATTCAAACACAGATTTTCGGACTTTCACTTGTCAGGTGTTGAATGATAATTACAAAGCGACTGAAACTTTCCATTAATTTCGTGTGACAAAGTGGAGTGAAGTCAGTATTTTCGTGCACGCTCAAACTCATCATCTGATCATTTGTGAGTTAACAACGGTCTTTGAATAAAAATTACTAATGTTCATTTTAAACAGCGTATGTGAGTGATTTTTATATTAATTTTCTATAAATGTATCAGAATCAATGTCATGATGACATGAATTTTATAGTAAGGATATCTGTATTTATTGGAAATGTGAGTATGAAGTAAAATGAAATGTGTAGGTGTAAAAACTCAGTGAAACGACATGCAATGACAATTTGATTTGCATCTGTGATTCTTTGTTGTGCCAGTTGAGGTATGATTTACACATATGCCTAAGTACAATAATTGGTAAATTAGACAAAACCACATGTTGCTGAAGATGAAAGAAGTAATCATCTTATCCGTGATACCACAGATTTCTGTGCAACAGCCGACATCACGCATATAATGTCTATGTTTCTAAAACTACGTTATACTAAACTAATTTCAAGTCAATTGATTCGCTAATCCTCTATTCTTCTCGCTTGTATCAGTCGAGTTTTAGTCCACTGGTTGGGAATACTGTCAAAATCTGTGATATAGACACTTCGCGTCTGACTGATTCATTGGGTGATCGAGGAGGGGGGGGGGATATGGGTGACTTTAAACGTGAGCAAGTCAACGAAGAAGCGGATTAAGCAGATGTAATGACCCTGATCGACCAATCAGAATAGCGCGTAGTAAATAGACGAGATCATGGATACTGTACACGTATTATATTGCAGGTTTCATCCAGATAGAGGGTTTCAGAACTGGTTAGGATAATAGGCGCATAGGAAGGAAGCACAAAAATTCTATCAAAAGTTTATGGCGTTACTTAAAAAAGATGATCAGGGCAGTAAAAGTGTCACATAATAGCATAATAAATATAACTATCTGGATGAACTTGGGTACGGAAATTGGTTTGACCTTTCAATAAGGACTCCTATAAGGATGTATGCGATGTATTGGGCTGTATTCTTGGAACACATACAACAATGTTACCTGCATAACTTTTCTATAAACGTATTTAAAACTGTTTATTTTATTTAGGACCCATGTGATTGGTTGACAGGCATTTATCAATGTCATAAGGATGATCGTACGTTTGGGATCCTTAATGTTTAGAGTTACCGAATGATGGAATATTTCGTTTAACTTTGCTTAAATTAATAATTATAGGTCAATGAAAAGACCGCAGTCTGTCATTTTATTTCCTTCCGGTTTCTTTTTCTACTCAAGTATTGATCTGAAGTCACCTTGGCGACATCCTTCAGAAAAACTCTAATTTTACTGCAGTATAATCACATGTTATAAAATCAGCTAAATGTTGTGCCGATTGAGATATCATACGTTCATCTTTCAAACAAACTGTCAATAAGACACACAGTTATTGAATAGAATCCCTACAATGAACTTCAAACGAATTCCATAATATTTAAAAACAAAAACTGTAACGGTGTATGAAAAGCGTAGGCATATGATGCTCGCTATTGATTGGCTACAGAACGAAGTTGTCTGTACTTCTAGTGGGAACTCGTGACTAGTGGGGTCTATCCGATCGAGGGTGGGGACAAATAATCCCTGATGATACTGGCTGGTGACAGTTGGGCTAAATTCACGAATTGGTGGAAGTTAGAATTCACAGGCTGGTCATTAAGTAAGATCCCAGTGGCTACATGATCTACGGACTTCCTTAGTAGCTGGAAGATCTCGGGTTGGAATCCGGGTGGTAGGTACCTAATATCACTGAGTCCCAAATTAGAACGAAACAGCTGTCCAGTACTCCCTGGTTTTCAGTGGTTCTTAGACTGATATCGATCTGCTGTCAGACCTGAAATTAGAATTAGAGATTCGATCGCTTGATAATAAAAAGAAGAACAACACTGATGAGATAAGTAGTAAAGTTTATTGAGATGAAATAACAATGGATATTAAGGAAATCCCGAACCTGAAGTCAGTTTCACAAACTACAAATAATACCACCCATTCTCTATTGGGGATGCATTATTTATTGCTTATTAGATTCATGCCAGTGATTTCACATTCATCTTGCGTTTCTTCTTCAGTGCGTCGGTGACACAGTGGTTAGGACTCCCACCGACCATGCACATGGTTCGATCCCCTGCCGATGCACACCCGATATCGATGGTCGGCCTGCAAAATTTTGGCTACCGATATCCATGCTGAAAGTTGTGTGGTGAGAGCAGACTGCTAGCCAATTGGTTGACATTAATCTACGTCAATGTCTAGGTCACTAATATGGGCTGTGAGGAAATATGAACAAGGCTGTTTCAACAACCAATCGCAGCAAACTTAAACGTGGGCAAATATGATTCGCAGATAGATGGCTCCACTTTCCGAGGAACTCGAAAACAACCAATCAGAAGACTGCGTTTGTCTACTTGACTAGGCTATAATAATGTATGTGAAATATATATAAATACGTGTTGATTTCTGTAATAAAAGGATCTGTTGCCTGGCCCTTGTCTTCTGTTGTTACGCTTGTACCGAAAAAAGTGTGGAATCAAGCTGTAATAAAAAAATATTGTTTTTATTTGCACACAGATTACGAGCTGTTTGACATACGACCTATGTCAATTTACAAGCAGGACACTGTTATTATTTTATTATCCTTTCCTTACATTTTGAGTCAAACATAAATCTTCAGCTGTAGATGTTCATTACACCCGGTGCTTTGCTACCATTCCTTTGAACTAGCTCTACGACTGACAATATACTTTCAGTTCCGCCTCACATCCCCTTTTCTATGTTACACTTGGATGCCAAATCCGTTCCTTTCGGATTGGGTTCAACTAAAGTGTTTTACTGGAGTGTGATTTCACTTGAATGTATTTTCGGTTTATGTGGAATTCACCTCCATTTCCTCTTGCATACGGGTTTGTTGATAGGTTTTTGGTCAGTTCGCTGAGCTATGCTGAGTGAATTTCTCGTTTCTTATCCTTTCTGGCCATCCATTTGACGTTCAGTATGGGAGCCTTTGAGGTTTGCAGTAGTTTGTTGGAAATGCTTTCGGTGATTCGTGGGTCAAGTCTCTGAACTATGTAGAAGGATACGGACATATATCAAAGCTAAAATAGGTTTTACACTAGCAGTAGATTCATAAATAATTAGATCGAGTACTTGTGTATTGACCACTGCCTGCAGCTTCTTTGGAATCTCTTGGCTTAGGTTAGCTGTGTATTTGTAATTATCAGAAATGGTTATGTAAAAGCTTAGGAAAGAGAATATTCACAGGTAAGCTTTGATTAACGCTAGCCGATCATGGAATTAATTTAAGTTAATCAGTCTATTGGTTACTTTGGAAACTATTTGACGTCAACATTAAGGAACATGCCCAGCTAAATTAATAGATTACATTTTATGTAAGCTTGATAAATTTACCTATATAATTAAGCGTGAACTGTTAGACGCAGTGCTGAATGATATGAAGAAACAATATGGTGAATTTTGTTCCCTAATTCATCACTTTAAATTGTAAGTCGGAACCAGTATCAGATGAAGAAGTGTTGAAAGTTGACTAACTGACTGGTTTCATTGTAGAACGTTACACACAAGTTCAGCACTTCCAGTTGCCACACTTTATGTAGCATACAAAGCAAGAGAAGAAATGCATAACAGAGGCAGTAAACAGGGATATGAGACAAAAGGAGACAAAAGCACTCGACGCCTAACCTTAAAATTGCTCACCCTGTTACACTTACCACTCAAACCTCATCAGTACTGAACATAGTACACCAACTAATATGAGAAAATGAAAGAAGATACATTTGGTCATGGATAAACAGTCTTCTACATTCAGTGGTCATGTCTTAAAACTATAAAGAGAGACGGAGTAAACTGCCGCACAGTATACACGTGATTTGATGGATATCATAATATCACGCCTATGCGAATATAGCGCAGGTTAGCAAATATCGAACAAGCCTTTTGTAAATGTACTAAGGTTTCTCCAACAAGCGATCTACTAGGACTTATGCATCTTCCTGACATAAGTGACTCAGCGACTACACTCTCTATGCTAAAAGTACAAAGTAATATCCTGTAAACTTATCAATTTTAGACAAAGTTAACTTCTGCTAATACTTAGCTCTAACTAGGCTTATAATTCACTTGATAAAACGTAACAATAAAGATGGAGAAAGGAGCCAGGGAAATTTAATGTGGAATATTGTTTTTGTATTGTATTTTGTTTCCTCACCAAGTTGTTAATTCAACTGCCATGTGAATAGACAGTGTATAACGACATGTTTAGCATCGTCATATTAAGTTTCCAGCAACCTGGTCTTTTACATCAATCCATATCATACTGAACTAGCTAGAGGGAGCTGCTGCACAATTATTATTAAACATTATAAGAGATCGTATTCGCATGAAAAACAAATTCGCTGTAATGAGATGATAATTGAAAATCACACATTTACCTGGCAGAAGATCAAAACCTTCAGTCACTGAAGTGAAATCAAGATTTCGTCAGTAGCTTGGTCTCATATCTAAGTCAGAGTCCTCAGGATAATAATCTAAAAGCTAACCTTAATGAAACCCTTATTGAGCAAAAATCATTCTGCCAGAATAAGGTTACATATACACATGGTTATATTAACAAATGTAGTCACTTGGACGCATTCAGAAAAGACATCCGTCAACATCATAGATGAAGAGACCAATCAATTTTAACAAAACATGACGAATTACATAGAAACGAATCAAAAATATTTTCACTGACAGACATTCAACTCTTAAATAATAATTAAAAAAAAATAAACACAAATAAAAAGTGTATGACTAATATTTTATATTTAATATACAATGATTTTGAGGAATCACACTCAAAATACCGTCTACCGTAGGTTAGCTCACATTATTTACAAGATGTTATATAATGAAAGAAAGGGGAATAGATTAGGCGATGCTAAGCACTTGTATAAAAGAGATACCAAGAGTAACCAAAATTTCTAAATAAACGTCACAAAATTAGAAATCAGCAATGAAAAATAGAAGCAGAAAATGTCTTTGACCTGACACTATCAAGAAGTGGAATGTCTGTCCCCTTGAACAAACATTTAAACACAACAATTAAAGGTTGAATTCAACTAAAGATCCAGTAAGAAATAGATATGTTCTTGTGTTTTGTATTTTGTCATAATCACAGCAACATCATTAACCAATACGATATGTTACACGCATGAAATGGAGACAAAGGGAGGGAGGGAGGGAGAGAGAGAGAGTCATCGGTTTGACTTGTCTAATATAAAAAATAAATTGTATTATTAAAATATATATATATAAGTAGCAGTATATATGCTGGACAGGCTACACCAAAACGATAAAGAAACTGCATATCTGGAAGTTTTGAGAATATTCTACCTAAATGGAATATTTCAGTAGTTTGTATAGAGAAGATCTATTAGATCAATTATTTTTGTTATTATTGGTAGTGAAGTAGCAAGTGCTCTGTCATACCTGCGGAGATTTTCTGTAATAAAATAAGAAACAAGAAAAGGTGAATAAATATTTTGTATGATGTATAATTCATAATAAAAGATTCGCAATGACAACGATGCTCAAATTCTACGAGTAAACCGACAGGAGCAACACACTACAAAATTAAGACTAGAAATTAATTAACCTTTAGATTAAAAGTAGTGATACTGGCATGTTGACAAGATGCATATCAAAAGAGCATAGCATTTGTTTCACATGTATGAACGTTAACATTTAATTGTTGGAGACGGCTGTCAAGCGGTTACACTTCACAGGATGATACTGTTTGCTATTATTGAGGTCTCACAAAAAGCTAGGATGAATGCTTTTGGTTCTTACGAAAATGTGTGTATGTAATTAATTGCCCAGTCAGTGGGTGTACCAATTATTTGTATTGACTTCTTCTATTGCCTAATAAATACGCGTGTCAAGCTACACACTGAAATAGCAGAGTCAACATTTTTACAATAAACTAAATTGAATAATCCACATGGATGTTTAATGGGTCTGTTAGACAAAATGAAAGGCTAAAAGAATAAATAACCCAACATCCTGTTATATCATGATTAAAACAGTGTGAAAAAAAGTGTGGGAACCTTCAAGATGAAAATGACTTTTTGCGTTATTTCATCAAGAAGAAAACAACAATAATTCTGTCAGACGGAATGAGCACAAATAACACAGAATTCCGTGCAAAGCGTATATATTCCTTTTAGGACAAAAATGTGAACACTGATGCTAAAGAAACAAACAGATACGCATACACACACGCGCGCGCACACACACAAGCATAAAACACTTAGATACAGATGACCAGATAATTATAAAATAATACACCGATAAGTACATGAAACAATGACAGCTGCATATATAGCGTGATTTTAAAAATTAAAAAGCCCAATGAAATGGTGCTCATAAACAACAATGGTGACTACAGTGCAGTAACCAAAAGTAATAATGAAGTGTTGAAATTGTGTGATGAAACATGGAATATTGAAAAAAATGACAGTTAATAGCAACAGAGACAACCACCTACTTGTTTACTCACTGTTTCAGAAGATAAACATGGAAGGGAAGGAGAGAAAGAAACCAAAGAACACAGAGATAAGAAAACATTTTGTTGACTGAGTTAAGTAAGCAGGAAGATAGACTTTCTTCTCAGCATAAATGAATAGTTTTATTTAATATATATACACCACACACTGCTACAGTAATAGTGTTTTGAGCACAGTCCCACTTCCTAACCTGTTTCGATATATATTCATATATATATTCCCATTTTTCTCTAATACAATTTTCATAAGTCTAGCAGTTGTCACTGCATTATTTTTACTGTACATGGTGGGTGATGATTTGATAGACAATGGTTTTCTGATTAACCTATCTCCCTCTCTCTCTCTCTCGCTCTGTCACCATCTTTGTCCCCGTCTATCTACTTAACGTTTTAGTACTTTTACACTTTCCCTTTCTACTGCGTGATTGTGTGCACATGAGTGCATAGCTATAGTCAAGAGTTCTTCTAAATTACTTAGTCTTGGGAGGGGGTGTCTATTATATTATGCTTAGATAAATTTCATATTCTGATGACTTAACCGGTCTCAATCAACCGGTTCGGTTTAACCATCTGACATCAACGTAGTTACATTGCATTTAACGAATTAAATTATTTTGTCTAATCAGGTCAGTAGTATTCTCCAATTAACACAGTTAACGCCCTGTGATAACACAGTTAATAATTCTAAGTAGGAATTATGGACCTTTCTTCTTCATTGTGATACATACATGAATGCTTAGAATTCCATCTTCTTCATATTGTGATAAACAAAAGCTATATTGAAGCGTTGGTTTGCAGCGATTTGATTTGATGGGTTACTGGATTTCATCACGAGCTGACATCGGTTAGAGAACCACTGAAAACTACCAGAGGGTAATGGACAGTTGTTTCGTCTTAGTTTCGGACACTTCCTCAGTACACACCCACCACAAAGGTTCGAACCCAAGACCATCCGGTTACAAGGTTAGGCCGTAAGCAATTAAGCCACAGGGACTCGATCCACTGGCCAGACCATAAATTCGAACTTCTTCCAATTCACGATGTGGCGCGACTGGCACTAGCCACTGTCATCCGTGGTCAGTATCTGTCCTCAATACCAGACGAAAAAGTTGTCCAGTAGTTTCAAGTTCCCCAATGGTTGTCTATCCAATGTCAGTTTATGGTGAAATCCTATGAGCAATATTATTTCATCTTCCTGTATGAATTTCGCTCAAACTGCGACCAGTACCTAGGACAAAGTTGGAGCAGGTTTATAACCTAAATAATCAGTTTATGACACTTGCTTAGAAGGTTAATTTTCAAAATTCTCACTTACATAAGGCGATAGTTCATCTACTAATCATACACCTGATTTTTCACTTGTTCCATTTACATCAACGATTTCTTGTGAAGCAGTATGGTCTCTAGTGCTAATCAAAAAATCAATGAAATTTTCACGTTGGAAAAAAGCTAATAAAACACATTTTGCTTTTACAGAAAATTTCGGATTATTATTATTGTTATTACTATTAATCATGTACTATAATAGAAGGTGACACGTCAGACATGATAACCTGAGTAGTAAAAGTACTCAGATACCAAGATGGGCTGAGTAAACATACCATGTGATATAAGTCTTAACGTCATCTGTCTAATTGATCTACGATTCTTTAATTCGTTTAGATTCATATTGAGTTACATTTATCGCCATTTATATGAAAATAGATACTTTGAGTTCACATATCTAGCTTGACTTACACATTACACTGAAGAATCAGCTGATTATTATTATTTTTTATATTTTTATTTTTGATTTACAGCTTGATTCCACACTGTATTTTTGGTACAAGTGTGGAGTTTTCAGCATGGATATCGGTAGCCCAAATTTTGCAGGCCGACCATAGATATCAGGTGTTCGTCGGCGTGGGCTCGAACCCCGGACCATGTGCATGGTCGGCGAGAGTCCTAACCACTGTGCCACCGACGTACATGTGATGTCTCGGGGACTAACTACAACTGTCAACAATTTCTATTCATAAATTTAATCAATTCCGCACTTCAGATGAATCATTGGTGATACTGTAGGGGGTCACAATATATTCGTAAATCACATTAAGACTCAGATATTTCATCTTCGAAGTGTAATTTTTAAAATCTCTACTGCTACTACTACTACCACTGTAACAACAGAAGGCAAAATCCGGAAGCCAAGGTATATTTCCCATTGATCAAACCGATATATATATATATATTATCTGTATCACACCACCACAGTAGTAGTAGTGTAACAACAGAAGACAAGAGCCGGCAACAGATCGTTTTATTACGGATATCAGCACGTATTTATATATATTTCACATACATTATTATAGCTTATTCAAGCAGACAAACACAGTCTTCTGATTGGTTGTTTCTGGTTTCTCGGAAAGTTAAGCCATTTATCTGCGAATCTTATTTGCCCACATTAAGTCTGTTGTGATTGGTTGTTGAATCAGCCTTGTTCATATTTTCTCACGGGCAATATTAGTGACCTAGACACTGACGTAAATTAATGTCTACCAATTGGCTAGCAGCCTGCTCTCACCGCAGTAGTAGTAGTGGGGTGGTGTGGTACAGATAATGTCGTTTGATGTAAACCGTAATCACACGCTCAATGATTGGTTAAAGAAGGTAAACTGTAGATATATATCAACAGCGGTTTGATCAATGAAAATATACTTTAGCTCACATGTCTTGCCTACTGTAGTTACACTACTACTACAGTTCGTACAATGCATTACTTGGGCACTCGTCGTTTAAAGGAACACGAAGGCCATAGCTATATCATGCTGGGATGTTGTGTTCCTATGACAGCAAAGTTAAAGTATCCTAGCCAAAGTTAAGGTGTGTCAACCGTCAGTCTCAAAAAACCTGTCAGGTTTATAGGACGCTTTAGAAGATCATTCCGAATAGAAATAATGCCTGTGTTTATAGATTTGGTTAGTGAGTTCCATGAAGATCGAGTATTTAACTACTGTGTCAGTAATTGATTAATTGGAGTCATGAAGACTTGTGTGTGTGTGTGTGTGTGGAGAGAGGCAATGCAACAATGCAATGCAGCAATGCAACCTTGTGTGAGATAAATACCACTATAGATGTAATTCATGCTGTAAGAGAAAATTGGTTCGTGAGGATGGGTAGCAGTAATTTATTCACTTCCTAAGTACTTTATTTGCCAAATCTAAGCTGTCTTTGTCAAACATCCTACGGCTGATCTATGGTTAGATTTCGTCAGATCAGCAGAAGCTGAGAAAGAAAATAGCCTGTTCTATATAGTTCAATGGTATCATTACTGTAGAAACATAGCGTCATGAGATATAATCAACTATCACCTTTATTTTGCATTCCCCATCGTGTCAACCATTCCTCTGACATCTTGGATCCGACCACATGCATCCACACTAATTCTATCGAAGTGTATTGGAGGAGGACGAAGAAAACAGTCAGGAATATCGATGGATCCCAAAGTATCATGATTTTCATCCACCTGGATGAATAAGTGTATCAGCTGTGGTACGATCTCTCTTCTGATCATCCTTGCAGAAACGCATTAAAGGCCATTATCCAGTTTAATATCATGTTTGCAACACTTTTAATACACGTTTTAAAAACTATTATAAAGCTTCTTTTGCGTCTGGATTGTGATTGGTAGTTCAGGACCACTACAATTTTGGTGATGATAGTTTAACTTCGCCTCTATGACTTTTCAGTAATTCTATTACCTAAATACATTTTGAGATAGTCGTAAAATAGCTCCCTTTATCACTTGGTTGGTACTAAGGTCAATCTGGCTGTCAAGTTAGGGTTAAGCCGAAAAAACAGCCTTTGCAGGATGGCTGACCTTATAATAATCAAGAACCTTATTTCTAGTCGAGGTCAGCAAGAAACTAAGCAAAAATTACTCCAAATAAGACAAGTGGGTGGCTCATTGGAAAGAAATACTTGACAAATGCGTAGATTACGTTTTAGCAGTCCAATTTCAAGAGGAAGCTACTAGCTAAGGGATAAACAATTTAAAACTAGAGAGTTCAATACATCCAACAGAAGTCATCAGTTAATCAATCATACCATCCATTTGTATGTTAACCAATTGGTAAGTTGATTACAGCCAAATTACAAAAGCTAGTCTGCAATATGAGTATAAATAATTCACGAATTTTAAAACAAAGAGAAAATAAATTATTTTGAAAAATAAACAGACAAACAAAAGACAACCTACTTAATACTCGCTGAAGACGTTCTTCGTCTGTGCAAATTTGCACTATTCCAAACCGCTGTACTTGACTTACGTTCACATACGTCTAAATTTGCCAATGAACCGGCAAATTTATCTCCACTTTCATTTACATCTAAATCGCCTTCTGCATTTGCAACATCAGATCCATGTTTTGTCCAATCGGGTAATACAATATCTGTTGTATTCCAGAAGGCATCACGCACAAGATCAGGATGTTCATGATGCATTCCATCAACAATAAGATAAGAAACCTGAACAAGAATAAAAACAAACATAGTTAAAATGTTATGTCTTGATTATAATATATGGCTTACTTTCAAATAACTGGTTGCTAAGATGGCTACACTGAAATCCTTTAAGATTATCAGTAAACAGTTTACCGAAAGCAACTGTTATCAAACACCTGAAACTCGATTTATGTGTTCAGAAAGACACAATGGTCAGACCTTCTTTGCCCCGGTGACCCCATGTCTTCACTCTTCATTTAATTTAAATATGTATAGTCTGTGTGCCTTTAATCTCCTCCCCTACTCGCACAGTGCAATTTTATTTAGGATTTTGTTTCTATGATTTGATTTGAATTCAATAAATTTTGATGCAGTTTACCAGTTGCTTATTATCTAATCATATAGCCATCGTGTTTATTGTGCAACTTCTTTTCGACTGAGTCCAAATACTTACTATTTTCCAGTTTTGTTTTGTTTAAACTTGAACCTTCTGTGTATTTTCTGAGCAGTATTTGTTGGTCGTGGAGTCTGGTGTTAACCGATATCATATCATCTTTAAAAGTACCTAATTTTTGAAAATAGGCTTGTTTTCTTGATTATCATTTACGGGTATCAGGCTGATTACATATTATGGTCTGAATAATTCCGGTTTCCATAGGAACTTGTTATAGTGAAATTTCACCTTGTAAGCAATTCGCAAATTGTGAATTTTATTTATGGGACTAGTAGGTCACAGAAGTAATTAGCCAGGGATTGTGTTTTTTTTAACTGACTGATCCAGCTTTCTGAGTTGAGTTGATTTCCGGTACATAGAACATGAGCTCGGCCGCAAACGTGTGAAATGGCCGACTGATGTTTAGTTTAGATCAATTCAATCTGGATAGCCAGCACTACTGGTTAATGTAAGTGTAGAACTTGGGCACCATAGTAGAGTGTAATTCCATATTAGATAAGTTCATTTTAATAATCACACAATGATGAAGTATTAACAACTGGATGAAATTTCGAGCGTGAATAATTGCCACTCGTAATCGCATCAATTTAGTCACACGTTTTCACAGTTTGTCTTATATATATATATATATCCTCTGCTTCTGTCTGTCCAACTTCCCTTTGTTGCTTTTTGCCACTATCCATACCTCCAGTATAGGCGGCTAACTATATCACTTCTTAATACTCTCACCATGTCCCACCCAATCTATTATGTGATTACATGCATGGCTGAGCTTTTTTCTACGTTATCTTACTTGGTAGCGTCAATCATTCTAGCTTAATATTTATGTTCCAGTAATCTAGTTGACACTCATCTACTAGTTTCCCTGACCTATGTAAATGACCTCACAGTCATAATATGCTATTTGGTAAATTATAGAGTTTTTCAGGATTTCATCATGAGCTGACATTGGTTAGAGAACCATTGGAAAACCTGGGAGTACTGGACAGCTGTTTCGTCCTAGTCTAGGACTCTTCATCAGTATGCACCAACCGGGATTCCGACACAGGACCTTCCGGTTACAAGACGAGCTCGTATACCATTAAGCCACTAGGACCCAATCCAATCGTCCTTGAATTCTAACTTCTGCCAATTCACGATATAGCGCGACCGCTAGCCAATGTCTTCAGCGAGTATTTGTCCTCACACCCGACCTGCTGCACCCTACTGGTCACGACTTCCCACTGGAACCCAGGTAACTACCTACCTGAATAGAGCCAGTCGCCAGTGAGCATCTCATTGGTATTTAAATGTTGGTTTGTAGGGATTTGATTGGTTTCAGGATTTCATAATGAGCTGACATTAGTTACAATCCCGGTGGGTGCGTACTACTGAAGAGTCCCAAACTAGGACGAAACAGCTGTCCAGTACTCCCAGGTTTTCCAATGGTTCTCTAACTAATGTCAGCTCATGATGAAATCCTGAAATCAATCAAATCCCTACTAACCAACACTTAAATATTTTGTTTTTCCTGATTGGATCTATTTATCTCTGAGAGAATTGATGGGTTTAAATGCCACGTGAATTCCACAGTTATTGAAAATTCCACGTAAGGCCTCTGAATTTGCTTCTTCTTTATACGGCAGTGCTACAGAGGCTTAGAATTCTATATTATTTTTGCCATTTTCATTACTAACCTCAGTTCTTCCATGGTTCTTCATATATTTCTGAATACATTCTGGTGGGTAGTTATTCACTAATAATATTTCCTTTATTGGTTTCATTTCCTTAGTGAAATCCTCTAGCTTAGTAGTCAGGCTGATGGTCTGATTATATAGGCATTTAACGAAACCTAAATTTACCAATTCTGGATGGGATAAATTGAAGTCTAAGTTATCATTAGACTATGTCTAATTAGAATATGCTAGTATCTAGATAATAGTTGTTAATACTGCATCACTGTGTGGTTATTAAAATAAACCTATATAAATATGGAATTACACTACTGATTAGATAAGAATAAACCAGGGATAACAGTCTGTGCAGAATAAGATGGTGACAACACTTATTTCATTGGCCTCTCATCAACTGCGTACAGCCTAAAGAAATGATTAACTCCATGCACACAACAATTTTTAACATACTTGTAAATGTTACATAATACCGGTTGACAGAAGGCTGCAAAATTACTAAACAGTGCTCAGAAATCACACTTGTATAGTTTATTCCTAGACGGTTCAAGTTCAAACAAAAATGAATGCTTGCATACAGTGATAAAGGAGTTTAGTAACAAAAACAAGGGATGATTAAGATAATGAGTAATTAATAAATTGAGTAATAGTATAGTGAGTTCAATTCAAATCATAGAAACACGCGACAAGAAAATTAACACTATATCTAAGGTTTAGTGGGTGGGGGGAGGTGATGTTAAAGCCAAAGAATTTATAATCAAAAGAAGGAGAGAATGAATATATCCAGTTACCAGGGTAAAGAAAGATTGATAACTGCTTCCTTCTGAACACATAAATCGGGTGGTTTCAGGCGTTTGACAGTCGACTTTTGTGACTGCACCAAAGAGTCTGTTGTACGGTAATATGAGTGGTATACGAATACTTACCAGATCTAATCAGTAGTATGCAGTTTTATGCAATTCCACGTTAACTTATCACTATACATTAACCTAGTTAATTCTTTCTCCAAGGTCATAGAGACACTCTAATACTAATTTGTTTATTGGAACAATAATATTTTTTACTGGATGACTACTTTTCGAATACACGTCATCCAGTAGGAAATTTGTTTTTTCATCACCCTTTTACAAATAAATACGAAGCAAAAATAGGTCATGAAACAGTTAATAGTAGTTATTACCAGCTAAAAACAAGTCATAAGTCTTAAAAAAGCTACTTTTAAACAGACAGTAGGGGTATTATGACTATAACAACCGCACCCGTTTTGTAACATTCTGTTCTTCTACTTTATCTCATGACCTGGATGAATAAAACTCGACTGTATGGGGAAATATGAACTGTGTCTTTAATATAGATGAAATTATAATGTATGCTTTTCAAACAACAACTGGTAAGGTAAACCCAGAGAAAAAGACAGTTACTTCGATTTCCTATGGTTAAGCACACACGCACAATAAAGCCTACAATATATATATATATATATATATATGCAACATAAACGATTTTAAATTAAAGCAATAGGGTCATAGAAGGAAACGAGAAACAATTAAAGGTCAATGAAAGGATAAACAAACTAAACACCGTCTATCGATTTTCAGCTTACAAACGAACAAATAAAATCGGATATTCATGATGAGTGAAGCATTTCTTCTCCCTGTATATACATGTATATATATATATATATATATATATATATATATGTATAATTTATAACTGCATTTCGTTTTCCTGCACGAAGCATCTGTAGATTCCCAAGCCTTCCATACATAATTTGAATTTGAATAGAACAAATTTCCTAAAAGAAATAGCCTAAAGAGTATTTCAATATAACACTATATCAATAAACTGTTGTTTAGTTATCACACATGAAAGTATACTGTCCTTGCCTGCCTACTGATAGGCACATAAGTGATACTTCAAATATTCACAAAATGCGATTAGTTATTTGCATAGCATACAGTTTAAGGTGAAATTCCCTGGAAAACCCAGAAAATATTCAGAAGATAACATGTTTGATCACGAGTCGACATCAGTTAGAGAACCAATGGAAATTCTAGAGAGTACTGCATAGCTGTTTTGTCCTACTTTAGAACTCTTCATTAGCATGCACCCACCACAGGGGTTCGAACCGAAGACCTTCCGGTTACAAGCAGACGACAAGTAGACGACCATTCGTCAACTGGGATCCGATTCAATGCGTACTGATGGACAGTTTCAAACCAGGAAGGAACAGCTGTTCAGTATACTCAAGATTTCAATGGTTCTCTAACTGATGTCAACTCGTGATCGAACCTGTAAGCAATCAAATTCCTGCAAGCCAGATACTTTATTCACCTGGAATTTTATACATTACAAATAACTAGCAGCAACCAATTCATTATCTGTGTACTTTCAACTTGTCAATCAGAATCTGTGTGATTCGACTCATTTCTCTTACTCAAGTCATTCCTTCGATCAGTATAATGATAATTTCGGTGCTTAGATCATTTAAATCCTCTATAAAGAGAAACTCCTGGTTGACGTGGGTGGTTATCCACTTCTCATACCAATCGGTAGTATATATCCTTATGCGTAACAAGTGTCTGTCACCAAATCAATCGACTTACATTTTTTTATTTTTTTAATATATATATATATAATTCCTTGAAGTTTCCAGTGGAATATCTGACTTCAAGCTTGAGCTTTGAAGTACCAGTAACATTGGTGTTTATGCTTTCCACAAGGTTATTGTTGCTGGCCTTACATCTGATCTTGCCTCTTTACCAAACTCACTATCAGTTAAGTGAGTTTCAGGAGTGCTTCGGTCGGGGGTCGAAATCCGGACTACTGGAGACGTAGTTGGTGAGTAGTCTATCACTGAACTTCCGACACACCTTCATATTTTATACATACACATTCTA